ATCCCGGATTACGTACAGACGGTGATAGAGAATCAGTTGTCTGGAAACCCCGACGATGGTTTGTTCGCGATCAACATCGTTGAGACCACGGAGGGCCTGTTTTATGAGCTTTGTTTTGGAGATGAATGGGGATACTTCACGAACACCATAAAGTCCCGATAAATAACGAGGGTGAATTATAGCGCCATGACACAAACCCCGGCAGTCTTGGATGATTGCCGGGGTTTTGCTTCGTAATTCTCACAGAAATCGACTTCTCAAACAATCCAATCAGAATCAGAGTGCTTGTATAGGTCCAAGACATGGACCGATGCAAGCAAAAATGGCCGAAAATGCTTGTACGGGTCCAGAAAATGGACCTGTATGTACTTTCCTGATTTTGGTTGACTCCGATTGGAGCCTTCCCCTGAAAGAAGTTGACTCTGGTTTAACTTTATTACTGGTGTAGGTTGACTCTTGTCACTATCCCTACTTTTGGTTGTCTACCCAGGCCTTATCCCGTTCAGGGGTTGACCGACGGCCGGAGGCAGGAGGGAGACCCCTGAACGACAGGCAAAGATACACTGTTTTCCGGGATTTCCAAGGCGCGTGCAGATAGGATAGCTTTCTCACGATAACTGATCCACCACTTCTTGATGGCACCCTCATGGGTCGCCGCCTGCGCAGGTGTCATCATGTCAATGCTCATGTGAGGCCTTTCGTTATTGTAGAAGTCAACAGCACGGGAGACCGCTGCAATNACTTCTTCCAGGCGTGTGAAGCGGATGTCTTTCAGAAGTTCATTCTTCATGGTGTTATTGATGCGCTCTGCCTGAGCATTGTCCTTTGGGTCTCCGGTTTCTGTCATGCTGATGCTGATATGATTGCGCTTCAACAAGTCCACATAATCAGAACTGGCGTATTGTATACCTCGGTCGGAATGATGGATGAGATTGACTGCCGTTTCCCCGCCAATGCGTTTCAGCGCCATTTTCAAAGCCTCCAGCGGATAGATAGTTTCCAGGGTGGGGCCGACACTCCAGCCGACAACCTCTTCCGTATATGCATCCAGGATGAGGGATAGATAACAGAAGATATAGTGATAGGCGTCCACCCAGATGGCGATATATGTCATATCGCTTACCCATAGTTGGTTAGGCCCATTCGGGATGAAGTCCTTGACTATATTCGGATATGTCGGCAATCCATGTGTGGAGTCCGTCGTTTTAGGTCTGCGTACCTTCAAACGTACTTTCAGATGATGCTCATTGATGATATCGGCAAAGCGGTCTCGGCCAACCGGACAGTTCCCGTCAAAAGCCTGCCTGTACATATACCAGAGCTTCATCCCGCCTATCCCGGGATCCTTGACACGAACAGACTTGACGAACTCCAGGGCGAACGCTTCCTGAGCCGCCTTTCTCATCACTCTAGACTCATCGTGCTTGTAATATGCCTGCTTCGTTACACCAAACAGCTCGCAAAGGAGCCGAACCCCGTATCGGGCGGGATTCTTTGCGTGCAGGTTCTCTACTGCTTGGCGCCAGCTTTTTTTCTTATCGAGATCTTGAACTTGGACTCGGCAACATTGATCAGTTCTTCGTAGGCCTCGGCTTTGATTTCCGCTTTCTCAAGCTGGGCGCGCAGGCGTAGTACTTCTTCCTGAAGAGATTGTACATCCTCAGGCATCTTCGCGGAAGACGGCTCCGTCTGGACAGACTCAACTTTCCGCGTCTTAACATTCGTCGTAAGCTTCACCATACGTTGTGCGTGCGGATTCTCTTCTGCAAAGATAGCAATCCATCGCATAATCGTAGTCTTACTTACCGGAAGAATCTTAGCAATCTGTCTGTATGAGAGCCCCTCTCTTACATACAGATCAATCGCTTTGTCATAGTAAAGATCCCGTGTCTTTGTTTGATACTGAAACATTGTGACTCGTGTGTTTACGAGTCAACTTTTTTCAGGGAAAGACATTGGCCACACTACCACGTGCTGCAAGGGCAGTGGGGCTTGCAGGTGCGGCGAATTATTTCAATCTTTGTATTTGGAATTGCTTGCCAGCCCGAAAAACCTGATAACCTGATCCATATGAAACGATTTCTGATCCTTGC